GAGTCGCCCTCTTGTACGAGCTGTTCGTTAGACTGTAGGAGGAAGAGAGCGAGAGACATCACCCGGCAAAAGGCCCGACACTCCACGACTCGGACCTCACGACCAACAGCACCCTAGTCTTTGCACTGCAAACTCATTAGCGACTTACGAACGAGTGTTTTTTTTTGAACTCGGATGAGGACCAGCACCTACGCGCATTCTTGTTAGCATCCCGGCATTATCACTCAAACATCAACAATACAGCACGGTCGCGGACAAAGTGCGCATCGTTGCTCATCTTAATCGCCACCATGAGCTCACAGGCACAGGCGGGGCCTTCGGTGCCCCAGGAGAAGGAGAAGAAGGGCTTTGGGAAATTTCTCTCGAGAGCCAAGACGATTTTGAAGAAGGGCGAATCAAGCAAGTCCAAGTCTGGCGCTGCCGCCACCAGCGCGACAGCCAATGTTCGCACGTCAGTACTCTTAGCACACCAAGTTCACATTCCTGAATAGGATTCTAACACGTCACAGTGCTGTTCAGCCTCCCAAGGCTACTGCTTCCCAACAGGCCGCCGCCGAGCAGGCTACCTCCAGACTAGAGAATCCCGTGACGGAAGCCATCCAGCCGGCTGAGACGACCGATTCTAAGCTTGCGGATCAAGACGGCGTCCGCAAGGTCCAGAGGAAGGAGCTTTTTGAGGAGCGTGCACGAAAGCTTGGCGAGAAGTACGGCCTGGAGATCAAGCAGAGCGATTGGTTCAGCACCGAGGGTACTGCACTACGTGTCGAGAAGCCCATCCGCATGCGCGTACATCGCAACTGTGTCTCCTGCAACGCTGCCTTCAGCTCTGCCAAGGAGTGCCCCAACTGTGGTTCCACCAAGTCGAAGCGCTACCCTCCCAAGCGTACCGAGGCCGAGAAGATTGCGAGCCGTGAGAGGCGCGCCACCATCCTGAAGGCTAACAAGGAGAACCCTCCCATCGTCCCCGACTACGGATACTACCCTGACGGAAAGGAGATTGTTCTCAAGAAGCCCAGCAAATGCGGTGGTCAGGATCTCGTTCACAAGAAGCCGCGCCAGAGAATCCGAAGAACCTGTCACGAATGCCAAGGCCTGTTCATTGGCGGCAGCAAGGAGTGCGCCAAGTGTGGCCACGTCCGTTGCACCGGCTGCCCTCGAGACCCGTTAGTGTTTCCATTTGATGGCCTTTTTATCTGCATATGTGCTAATATTCTTGCAGCCCCAAGAAGGACAAGTACCCCTTTGGCTATCCTGGCGACGTGTTTGGCCCCAACGCCATCCCACACCACGAGTGCCACGAGTGCAGAAAGATGTTCCCCGGCGGCGTCGCGGACGGCACTGCCTGTCTCAAGTGTCAACACCCCAAATGCGCCGACTGCCCGCGACTCAAACCCCGCAAGGTCGAACCAGAACCAGACCCCGACGTTCTCAGGAGCGTCCAGGCCAAGCTTGACGCTCTCAAGATCAGCTAGGGCCACGTTGGCGGCCTTGGTGGGCGTTGATGTTTGCGGGGTAGCGAGGTTGAGGCGATGATGATAAGCGAGTTTGCAAAAGCTGATTTGTATTTTTCTTTTCAACCCATTTATTCCACTTCTTGGCGAGAATCTTTGGTGTTGATTCATGTTCACTGCTTTTCGATCCGAGACGATGGAGTACGGTCCAGCGAGCGCCCTTGAGCTCATCCAATTGCATCCGGAGGCTATATCCAGCAGACACAGGGGCTGCATGCGTAGGATTGTGAGGCATGGCAGCGAGCTCATGGTCTCTGGGTTTAGCGCCGATCAGTGTGCTCAGCATTGAGACGAGGTTGTATTGACAGCATTGCGCTGCGGCACGAATAGCTTGATGGATTCTAGCACCCCATTTGAATCTTACCAACATGTTTCTCCACTCGCTTACACTGGTCCAAGTGTAACGTCCGTAAGAAATCTGGACAGTCGTTGATCCGTTGTACCGCTGCGAAGGGAGGGGTGGTAATCAGGAATATGGGCCAGGGCAAATCACCAAGCTGGCAAGGGATGGTGAAAATCGCAGCACAAATTATGGATCTACTGATTGATGCCCAAGTCAGGTCCTTTCGGGTGAATCGGCAAGATGCCAGGCAAGCGGGTGGCAGAGACTATGGCAGACATAATGCTCAGGTACCTAGATCTCCTAGCATTTCCTCCCCAACCTCAACAGAAGCACCCTCCCGCACGGATCCTGATTGATGTGCTGCTTATATAGGCATTCTTCGTTTCCAGACCTCCAAGGCGGTGACAGATTGAGCCGCACTTCAACTCCGCCAAATACAGATATCATCCAGACAGACGCCTAGCTTCAGAACCCTCTCAACACCTGCTATCTCAATGAAATGCTCTGAAGTTCTACCTACTAGATAATCGGCGACATGTTTGGAGGCACATTTCCTTTCATTAATCTTGAGCCGGTGTATAGTATAGTATCACAGCTCAGAGCGAGCTTACCTTGAAGGAGCATGGCCATTTTTTATTGTTGTTTGTCACCCCCCTTGTCCAACCTGTCAGGTCTCCCACCCACACGCGCGCACTCGGCCGCTTTTTTCACGATGCCGAGATTTGGCACGCCGTGCTCAGCTACGACACGGTGGGTTTGGGGCCGTGGGGCGCCCTATACTGGATCCCCGCCCCGCAAATGAAGCTGTCTCGTCGTTCGCGGCATCCGGGCGGGAGCCGGATGCTGGGCGTCGTGCCCGGTGCACAAGAGAGAGAGCGAGGGAGAGAGAGAGAGAGAGAGAGGACGTCTGGGGCGGAGAGGAACTTGGAACATGGTTCAGGTGGCAGGGTCGTCGGTCGGGACCAAAGGGGGGGAGGAGGTCCCCTTGTTGGATTGGATCTTCATCAAGAGTACCTCAGGCGACCATTCGGCCTGGGGATTTTCGAGAAATGGCCAATGGTTGGGGGGTTATGTGACTGAGCATAGCGAAACGAGATGGGCAGCGTAAAAAAAAAAAAATTACAAACAAAGGGCAAAGGATGCGGACGGAACATGGCGAGGGCGACTGACGAGAGGCGACGATCGGCTGGTTGGCGAGCACACCGCTGCTCTCCTGGGGGTTGCTTCCGCAGGCGCGGCATCGATCCGAGTCAACATCCATCAAGCCCCCCTCTCCCCCCGTTGCGGGGACCAGAAATGTCCGGCGCGTATTGGGGGGACGAGGTGTGTGCGGACGAATTGATAAAAATAAATCAACATTGGGAAAGAGATTGAGTAGAACGCTTTCTCGTTTCAGTGGCAATGCCGTGGGAGGGGGGTTTTGATGTCGACACGCGTGGTGTGGTAGCTGGTTTGCCAGACCACGGTGTTCTCTGTCATACCTACTGCCTAGGCACCTAAGGCAAGGTAGGCAAGGTAGGTATATGTACTTGGGTGCGGCGTAGTCAGTCACTCTTGGATGTTGATCCGTAGTGGTAGTGCATGTTACAGAACCTACCCATGGTACCCAAGGTAGATAGGCCTGCCTCGTTCTGAGAGGTGTCAGCACGAAGCCACCACAACCTTCCCAATGGAAACAAAGCCTGCAGGACCAGGACCCTTGAGGACACACCCTTCCATCTGCCATCCATTGGTGCCCAGAGTCCACCTGGGCGGCGTCTAGAACACACTCTTTGCCAGCGTGGATTCCTCCAGGCCGTCAAAACCGACTCCCGAGCCCGCCTGCGAAGCAACCTCGACGCACACCCTGCCACGCACGATGCGACCGCCGACCGGTCTCGTCGGGTCGCTTCACGAGGCCCAGACGCAAGCGACGCCCCGCCAATGCTGCCCCGGAGGCGACAAGGCTCTTGGCTTGCAGCACGCCCGCAGTGGCGCACACATTCCCCTCTCTCATTCACAGACAAGCGCACACCATCTCGGCGGCCGGGCAGGCTAAGAACCTTGGTGACAGGGGGGAGCTCCTCACCAGAACAGGGGGAGCTCCAGCACTGACAATCACAGCCTGATCTCACGAGAGGGGGAGAGCATAGAGAGGAAGGGAAGAGGTAGAAAGAGAGAGAGAGAGAGAGAGAGAGAGGGAGGCAGAGAGAGAGAGAGAGGAGACAAGAAGTGTCGTGGGTGCTCGCAACCCCTCCCCTCGCCCGCAAGCAGTCACACCATCTCTATGCAAGCCATGCCACGTCCATCGAGACGAGGATGAGCGGCGGCATGGAAGAGAGAGAGCCTTCTCGTGGTTCTTGTGTATCGTGAGATGTCGAGCCTCTCTATATATCTCTCCCCTCTTCTCATGGTTGTTCGACCACGGTGCCTAACCCCGTCTTCATCCTCCTCCTCCTACCAATGTCCTCCTAAGGACAGCCCCTTCGCTAGGTACGAAAAGGTACCCGTTCCGACTTCGCCTCCCAGACACCAAAAACACCCTGAACTCGTGTCGATCTTGAGACCCTCGACGATCACACCCCACGCCCCGTTCCTTAACCAAACCCCCAATTGATCCATTCACACATCCAATTCCGTTCCAGCTTCCCTGCCTGCCTCCAATTGAAACCCCCACACGTCATCTGCCCCATTCCTCGAAACCGCGATCAGAGCTCCCAGCTCCCCCATTCCGCCCATCAGCACCGCACACAGCTCTACAGCTACCCCGCCAAGCTACCTGCTTCCACGCCTCCCTCTACACAACCGCCGCCTAAGAACCATTTTTTTTTCTCAAACCATTGGGATTTTTTTTCGTGGTCCCTCGTCTGCTTCGCCATCCTAGTCAGGGACCCCCGACCGGTATTGCCCCCTGGGATCTTTCTGCTTAGCTCAGTCGTCTTCGGAGCACTTAACTACGACTCGCCTCCGGCCCTCGGCAGCATTTGCTACCCTCCTCCTACCTCCTTCATCTTTCTTTCCTTCTCTCTTCTCGAACACCTACACACCCGAGAACTCCACGATACCAGACGATCCAAGAAAAAGGGCCTGAACATAGCAATTGCTGCTTCTTCTCCTCCTCCTCCTCGATATTCCCACTCAACCGTCTCTCACACAAACTACACATCATGTTCCGCCCCGTGGGCAACCGCCTTGCGGCTCGCGCCCTTCGCACCCGCACCCAAACGGCCGCCTTCACCTCCTCTTCTTCCTCCGCCCCAGCCCCTCTGCTTGCCCGTCAGGCCCAGCAGTCTCAAAACCAGTCACAGCAGCGCCGCGGCCTCCGCGTCGGAGCGCCCCTGGCCGACAAGCCCGGCTCCTACTCGCGTACTGACCCTGAGGTCACCGTCGAGTACCCGGAGACCACGAGCTCCCCAGCTCCAAGGTCGTCCGTGGCCACGGCGCGGCTTCGCGAAGCCACCCTCGCCTCCTTCTCCCTCGAGGACCGTGTGACCGTCATCACGGGCGGCGCCCGCGGTCTCTGGCGTCGTCATGGGCCAAGGGCGGCCACTACTCCGGCGCGACCTCGCCATTGTCGACCTCAACCTCGAGGAGGCCGAAACCCAGGCCCGCAACCTCATCGACGCGTTCAAGAAGGAGAACCCCGAGGCCGAGCACACCCCCAAGGTCACGGCGCACTACGCCGACGTCTCTGACCCCGAGTCCGTCGACGCCTGCATCGCCGACGTCATTGCCAAGCACGGCCGCATCGACAACCTCGTCACCTCGGCTGGCTTCACCGAAAACTTTGACGCCGTCAGCTACCCCATCGACCGCATGCGCAAGTTCTGGGGCGTCAACGTCGACGGCACCTACCTCTTCGCCATTGCCGTCGCCAAGCACCTCATGGAACGCAAGGCCCAGGGCAGCATGGTCTTCATCGGCTCCATGTCCGGATCCATTGTCAACATTCCCCAGCCCCAGGCGTGAGTACCTTCCGTCCTTTTCCTCTTCTTAGTCTCTTCGCCATCCCAAATCCTGCACCTACAGACCAGGCAGCGAGAGAGAGAGAGAGAGAGAACGAGAGCTAACAGCATCCACAGTCCCTACAACGCCGCCAAGGCCGGTGTCCGCCACCTTGCTGCCTCCCTGGCCGTCGAGTGGGCCCACTGCGGCATCCGTGTCAACTGCATCTCCCCCGGCTACATGCTCACGGCCCTCACCCAGAAGATTCTCGACGACAACCCAGACCTCAAGAAGAAGTGGATCTCCCTCATTCCTCAGGGCAAGATGGGTCAGCCCAAGGATCTCATGGGTCCCGTCACCTTCCTGCTCTCCGATGCTTCGCAGTACGTCACCGGCGCCGACCTCCGCGTCGACGGCGGGTACACCGTCACCTAAGCGAGAGGACGCGGCGAGGAGCCATGAATAAAGGACATGATCATGGTGGGAGGACAAAATCCCCGCTGCTCGCAAAGGGGAAAAGTCATTTGCTTGCTGTTGGGCTTCCTGTGAAATGGACCCGCTACGATGGGACCATGGTG